CAACGCATAACCGCACACTGGGTGGCTCAAAACAACTGACGTTTATTGTCTCACAGTTCTGGAGCTAGAAGTCTGAAATCAAGGTGATAGCAGAGCCATGATCTCTCCAAAGGCTTGGGGGTCGGGGGGTCCTTCCTTGCCTCCTCCAGCTTCTACGAGCTGCCGGCCATGCTGGGCATTCCTCTGCTTGGAGATGAGTCACCCCAGCCTCTGTGTCTGCCTCTGACATTTATCCCCCGTGTGTCCCTGTATCCAAATACATCCATCCTAATAAGGACTCCCGTCATTGGATGACGTCATTCTAACTGCATCACGGGCGCAAAGACCCTATTGCCCAACAGGGTCCATGACTGCTGCGGGAAGAGTAGTTACTTCTTAGGGTAAATTTATTTTTTTTCAATTTTTAATTTTCTTTTTTAAGAATTGAGATGTAATTGACATATAACATTATATTAGCTTCTGATGTACAACATGACCCTTTGATATGTATCTATGTATCAAAATGGTCACCGTGATAAGTTTAGTTAATATCCACCACCACACATGGTTACACACTTTGTATCTGGTGATGAGAACTTGTGATATCTACTGTCTTAGCAACTTGCAAATACACAAGACAGTATTATTCACTCACCCCACTAACATTTCTTTTCAGAATTTATAATACATTTCTTTATAAATTTTTTCCCCCCTCTAGACAATAGGTTTTCATTTGAAGCCAGGACATTTCCACATAGATAACACACTAACACCGACTGGTAAGCTTCAAAAGATAGATGCCAACTCTCGGGGCATTTGAAAGAATAGCCCCTGACCAATTAAATAGACTCTCCGGGGGTTGGGCCCCAACCTGGGTGTTTTGAAAAGCTCCCCGTGAGAAGTCAGAACTGAGAACCCCAGTGTAACTCTGGCTGCACAGTGGAATCGGCTAGATGCCTTACGTGGATGGTCTCATCTCATCTGGTCTCGCCTGGGTCCTGGGATGGCGGGGGTGGGGGGGTTGATGTGTGGGTGAGTGTGCAGCCTGGGCATCTGGCTTCCTTCAGCTCCTCAGTTTCCTCAAGGTGTCTGGGGTGAGGCGTGCAGAGTAAGGTAGAAAACGGGTTGGAGGGGCGCCTGGGTGGCTCAGTCGGTGAAGTGTCTGCCTTCCCCTCAGGTCGTGATCCCGGGGTCCTGGGATCAAGCCCCTGCTCAGCGGGGAGTCTGCTTCTCCCTCTCCCCCTGCTGTACCCCCTGCTTGTGCTCTCTCTCTGTCAAAGGAATAAAGTCTTACAAAAAAGAAAAAAAAAGAAAGTGGGCTGGAAAGGGCCCCCACGATTCTAGGAGCTTGACGCTTTGGAAGCCAGAGGTCCCAGCCCCTGAGAGAGGAGCTGTAGAGAAAGGGGCTCCAAAGAGCAGGTGAGGGCCGTGGAGGGCACTGGTTCAAGGCAGGGAGCCTGGCAGCCAAGGCCTGAGCTCAGAGCTCGGCGTGGGGCCTCTGCATTCCCTGCCACGTCGGACCAGCTGATGAACCTCTTCAGCCTTGGTTCTCCCGTTTGGGAGAGGCAAATGGGGACTGCCCCACGCACAGGGTGCTGTAAAACACAAACTCAACAATGCCCAGAAAGCATCTTGCACAGCAGCCACCCGGGGTAAGCTCTCAGTGAATGGCGGCCTGGCTGATTCACTGGAGTTGCTTGTCATCCTCTTGTTGAGGTCCTGGGAGTGGCACAACCTTGGCGGGGACTCAGGTGACCATCGGCTCAGTCCCTCAGCCCAGGATGAGGGTCCTCCGGGGTTGAGATCAGGCGAGTGACAGCCTTTCTGACCTTGCCAACGTCAACGCAGGCCTCAAGGCCACGGTCTGGCTTTGCTGCGCGTCTCCCACGGGGGAGTCAGGTGCGCCGGCAGCTTCTGTCAGCACCAGGCCCGGCCCGTGGGGCCACCTGCGCGGACAGGTCGGCGGTGGTGAACGGGCCAGCCCCGGCCTCTGAAACATGGGGTGACGGGGCTGTGGAGACCTCCTTTTCTGAGCTCCACAGACGGGGTGCTCTTGGGCCCATGGCGGGCCAGGCCTGGGGCCTCCAGGCAGGGAGGGCCAGGCTGCCTCTCTGAGCTGGTTCCAGGGATGTTAATCAAGTCTAGCTGTCTCTTCGCCCAGCACGTCCCATCTGTCTTCGTTGAAGCATGCTCTCGGTAATTTCATTGTGGGGTTTTCCATTAAAAAGTTTGATTAATTCCATAAATATTAAAATAAGACAGATAATTAGAATCCAGGTACTCAGTGTTACACAAAGCAGTAAAGTCTGCACTAAATTATTATTATTAATAATAAGCACTCACGTAGCCCTGGTAATAAGTGCCCAGAAAAAAAAAAGAAAGGCCCACAATCAATATTATTAATACTATCCCCCAGCCAGGCTGGAGTGGCTGCAAGTCCCTGCGTTGGGAGGGAAGGGGGTGGCTGGAGCCAGGCCAGCCCCGCCAGGTCAGGGGCCTTGCGGACAGGGCAGCGCCCCCAAGGACTGGGGGGGGGGCGGTGGCGGGCCTGGTTCTGCCTGAGCTTTCGTGCTCACTTCCCTAACAGTCGGGGGCTTCTAGTCCCTGGAGACTGACTCGCTCCTGACCCATTTCCTCCCTTGGTGGGCTCGGCCCGCAGCTTCCTTGGCTCCCCTACCTCCCCATGATGCAAAGCGTCGCTCCCCTGGGTGCTTGCTCCAGAGCCAGGGCTAAATACTAGTTGTCTCGGAGCCTCTCTATAAATCATGTAGACAAGTTGAAACTATGCATCATTAAGGTAGAAGGGAGGGTACACCAAATCGATAAATAGCCAAGTAAGGGGAAAACTCTTCGGTCCGCTCGAGCCAAGCGCCCATTTCGCGGTGCTCAGTCATGGTTGTGATTGTCTCACTAATCACTTGGTGGTGGATTCCCACAGTGGCCGCCTCAGAAGATGGGAGGGAAAGAAAAAAAAGCCTGTTCTTATTTCTAATCAGGGGAATGAGTCAACTATCCAGAACAGCTTTTCCTTTTCCTTTTCCAGCACTTGGTAAGAACAAACAAAAAAGCCTTCTCAGCAGCTGAAGAAACAGCCTGACCTTTTAATATCCGGCCTTCAGGATCCGTGCCTCAGGTGGGGCCGGTTCCCTCCTGCTGGACAGGGATGGAGGGTTGCTGATGCACCGTGGGGACGTGGCGGGGGGGGCACCGGTGGAGACGAGGGGCCCCATCTGTGCACACAGCTGCTGGGCGGTTCATTTGGCAGAGGCAGAAGCCCTGGCCGATCGGTCCCTCCTCCGAAGGTACCAGAACAGACCAGGAAACCGCTACTCCGTTTCTGACTGACACAGAGTGACGTGGATGTGGTTGGAGAACTCGGGGGAAAACTCCAGGCTGCCCTGGGGGGTCGAGGTAGGCAGTGAGAAGTGTCCTGGGCCTATAAGGAAGGCGGATCGCCCCTGGGCAGGGGGTCGGGGTGGTCGGTGACAGGGCTTCAGGAGGGAAGGGGGGTGAAGACAGTTCCCTGGGGGATGGTGGCACAACAGTGTGAATGTGTGCATGCCACCGAACCGTATGCTTAAAGATGGTCAATGTTATGTTATGTATATTTTACTACAATTTAGAAAAAGGCCGTGCCAGGCCATATTGGCACCCAAGGCAAAAGGAAAAATACTGATCCTGTTTTTATTTTTATTTTATTTATTTGGGAGAGAGAGTATGTGCATGTGCAAGAGAGGCAGAGAGAGAGAGAGAACAAGTGAGGGAGGGGGAGGGGCAGAGAGAGAGAGAGAGAAAGAAGCAGGCTCCCCACTGAGCAGGGAGCCCGATGTGGGACTCGATCCCAGGACCCTGAGATCATGACCTGAGCCGAAGGCAGACATTTAACCGACTGAGCCACCCAGGCGCCCCTGATCCTGTCTTTATCTAAAGTTGTAGTATTCTGTTAATTTTGTTCATCATTGGATTTTTTGCATTAATTCAGCTTAAAAAATTTTACCTTAAAATCATATTGATCTTGATTCCTGAGTTTATTTGGCAGCCCCCTAAGTTTGCATCCTAACCCTGGCCCTGTGCTGGAGGGATGGGAAGTTCTCAGAGGTAAGCCCCTGAGGGTCCTTTGCTCCATGATTGGAGGAGGGGGAGGGGAAGGTGCCTAGGGAAGCCAGGGTCATTATACAGGGCACTCTGGGCAGCCCAGCAGAAGGCAGGCATCAACTCACGGGCCAAATGATGGCTGGCCTTGCACAAGCTTGTCCCAAGATGTGAGCAGGTCCTAAGGTGTTAAAAGGTCACATCAAGGGCGTGAGAAGTTCAGCAAGTTGAGCGAGATGGGGACTAGGTCAAGACCGACCCACTGCTTTGCAGGGTGTATCTGGAGGGCCGGGCCTGTCCACATCTGCTTTCTCTCTAAGAGAAGGATCTCCAGATGGGAATAGGTGGACGACACCTTGAGAATAGGAAAATAAGCTCCAAGGTAGGGGAGAGTGGTGAAGGGAAGATCCTGATTGCTCTTGATTGGGTTCTCCCCTCTTGGGAAGCTGAGAGGGAGCTGTGAGGACATCCAGAGATGGATGTAAGAGAGCCCCGGAGAACCTTCCTGCCAGAAGTCTGGGTGGGACGGTGGGCAGCCCTCTCAAGGTGGAAGAAAGAGAGGAAAGTGACACAACCTTGTGGGTCCCAATAAACTGCTAGAACACGTCACCCCGGGTCTGTGATCAAGAGAGGAATGAGTGTGCTAAAGGTCAGCATGAGGTCACCAAGGACAAACCTGGTCTCATAACCCTGCATAGTTCTAGGGCGATTAGCCTGGGAGATGAGAGGTGTGTGGCAGGTGTCATGCATCTGAGCCATCACGGGTGTCCCAAGTCTTCTCCTACTTCCATATTCATCCCTGCTACAATCCAGATCCCTTTCTTTTCTTTAAAGCACTGTCTGGAATTATCTCATTAATTTCTTTACTTATTTGTTGACTGCTTCCTCTCCTCTCCCACCCTCCCATCAATTTATACTCCCTAAGAGAAGGGACATCATCATCCATCGTGTTCGATACAGTATCTCCAGCCCTTGGGATAGTACCCAGCACATATTAAAAGTTCAGTAAGTATTTGATGAATGAATGCATGAATGAATGAATGAATGCATGAATACAAATGTGAATTTTAGCAAGGCTTTTGGCCAATTTTTATGTACAAGAGGGAAAAAGTAAACTGGAAGATATATGTGGACAGTTAACTGGCTGAACGAATAAGGAGTGCTGCCTAATGGATCGCAGGGGTCTCTAGTGGATTGCCACAGGGCTCTTGGCACTACCCACTCAATGACTTGTGCTTGGCATCTTAAGATGCCCTCTAAGTGTGGTATTCAGAGCTGAGCTAGTCCCATCACACTTAGGTTAGTGGGTCAATTTTAACAGAGACTGATGCACCTTTTCAATAGGTAGGTGTCCAGAGGAGAGTGGCTGGATGAGGAGTGGGAGGAGGGCAGACTTGATGGGGATGGTGGCTGGAGTGGGTGGTAGGGGGCAGCCAGGATAATCCAGACATTTGTGGAAGGGGGATCAGACTTATTCTGCAGGGCCCCAGGAGAAAAGGAGGACCAGAGGTTGGAAGTTACAGGTGTTCTGGGTTAGTACAAGCCAGATGCTCCTAACCACTGGAGCTGACCAGCATCAGATTAGGAGACCCCATGGGGTTAGGAGTGTCCTGGTCACTGGGGACATCCAGACTGGGGCCACTCTGACCAGGAGGCCCTTCCTCTATGCCAGGTGGTGGTGGTGGGGGGGGGTCCTTGCCTCTTAGAGGGGCTCTCCAGAACCCGTGGAGGTTTCTTGCAGAAAACTTGCAGAATTTTTCTTGCAGAATAGGTTTGGCAGGAGCCCACATCAGCAGGCACCATCCCCAGAGGAAGTCTCCTGGAACCTTGGGCCACAGCACACCTGGCGGGCAAGGTGCCTGAGGGAAGGGGGAGGGGACTGCCCTGACTCTTGAGCAACCTGTTTCTGACCAGAAATACAGTGCAGGGCAGTGGGGGGATGTTTGCAGGCATTCTGTGTGTTTTACTTTCTACTTCTTGGCAAGGTAGGTGAATAAGATGGGGAGACAGAAATCTCGCCTCTTTCTCCCCCTGTCCCTCTTCCTTCCCACTCCCCTTTCTCTTCCCTCCTTCCTTTGTTTTGTTTGCTTGTTCTTTTAATGAGCAAAGTGTTCTAAAAACACAAATATCTGACCCAGGAAAATGAGCCTGTTTTAATCATGGGTTTAAATCTCTCCAACCAGAGAATCTTCTAGATTAATTAAGTATTCTGAGAAAATGGCTTTTTGGCGGGGGTGGGGGGGGGATTTGGGGGGCCGGAGAGGAGTGAAGGAATTTGTAAGGGGAAGAGAAAAATTACTTTCCACATCAGTGGTTAGGGTCTTAACATAGCCTAGGAACCCAGATCTGGGGACCTGGAGCACCACAGCCCAGCGCCAGGCTGAGCTGCAACAGTGTCACTTCGTGGCCAACAAAGCTGAAGGACTCAGGTGACCTGAGAGATGCAGGTGTGGTCTGGCCGGGCAGGACCCTGAACGGTATGCTCATTATTTCCCCTAATCAGAAGATCAGCCTGTCCATGGTCTTTATCTAGTTTCTTTAAGACTTAATGCTTCCATCTGTAAATTGGAACTGACAAGAGCACTTCCTTTATAGGGCTGTGGCGGAGATTAAACAAGACAAGGACAGTCAGGAGTTGAGTGCCCGGCCTGGCAGCGTTCAGTGTGCAGTAAAATGCGGACCGTGATCTTTTCTCCAGGAGGGAAGGTCATTTGAGGAGTTTCGTCGGCCGCCGCTAGGGGGAGCGCCGGCCCAGTTCCTGCCTCGGGTCCCGGGGATAAGAACGCTGAGGGTCCGCAGAACCTGGGGCGGTGGGGAGCCGCAGAAGACACAGAGGGTTGGGGGGTGCTGGGACTAAATGTAGGTGGGATGCCGGGGGCGTCCAGCGCTTTTGTAAACCGGCTGGCGGCGACTGAAGGATTCATGATGCAGGCGTCTCCCAGCCCTGGCCCCGCCTCTGCACCCCATCCCTCACACTTGAGTGAGGACGGTGCTCCCCAAGGACATCCTAAGACAGCGGACTTTTGCAACGACCTCAATCTATAGATTTGATATGAAATACATGTCTCCTGTGAAATATCTTTTGGCATGACTGTATTTCTCAAGCTTCTGGAAGCACCGGGCTTCCTGCCAAGTGTTGGAATCCGGAGCTGTTGTCCGTGCAGCGAACGCCCCGTGCATTTACCTCTCTCACCCCAAAGCCGGGCGCCTGTTCTCAGCGCTGTGCTGCTGGGCTGGGACTGCAAACCTCACGTCTCCTTGCAGGCTGATTCCTGGTGGTTCAGCCAAAAGGGCCCCTTGGAGCCAGGGGCAGGGAAGGAGGAGGGAGAGGAGACTCCCTGATTCTCGTTTGGTTACTGTTCTTGTCACTGTTGCTCTGACAGGCATCCTGTCCCGTCCTGGTGACAGCAGATGTCCTTGCGCTGTGGGCTTCTACCCTCTGCTCCCAGACCAGCCTCGTGATGCCTCCTTAGAGGCACCAGCCAGCAGCTAGCTGGGTATCACCCCATCCGGGAGGTCTGTGTCCCTGCTCTGTAGGGGCCCTTACATTTCCCCCCCAACACTAGGGGTAGTAGCTGCTTCCTATTATTATCTTTTGTGCTCCAGTGTTCCTCACCCAGTTTTTTCCCCTTTCAGCCCTCCATCACCCATGTGACCCATTCCTTTGTTAAAGTCGCTCTATTGAAATCGTGTTTCCTGAGTGGAGCCCACTGGGGTTTTTGACTCTTGTAAATGGGAGTGTTTGGCACTGAGGTTATGGTCTGAAGATCAGGAGGAGCCCTCGGGCGTGTGGAGGGTTACAAGATGGCCAGGGGGCGAGGGGAGAGGTTCCCAGGGGGAGAAGGGCACGGAGACAGACCTGCCTACCTTTGGAAATGGTGTCCAGGGCAGAGGGGGCAAATGGGGCAAATGCCCCAGTCAGGGTGTCAGGACCTGGTTTTAAAGCTTGTAAAATCCACTTCCCAAAAGGTATTCCTGTGTGTCACATGAAGAAACAGATGAGCCTAAGAACAAGAAAGGTGGAGAAGAAGAAATAGAGACGTACAAACCCTTCCTTTTTTTTCCTTTATTGTCAATATAGCAAAGTAGAATATTGGGAGGCTTCCTAGCTCAGAATCACCTTCAGGAGAAAGGGAGAGAGAGAGAGAGAGAGAGAGAGAGAGAAAGTGGTTCAGGGTCATAAGGCTCTGTGGGGGCTGCTCGGGCCAGGTGGATGCCCGGAGTGGGGTGAGTCTGGAAGGAGGGCCACCTGGAAGATCTGTATTCCTAAGAGGCAGACGGAAGAAGATGTCAAAGTCCGAGGGGATCTGAATGCTAGGGAAGAAGGCTCTAAGCCCAACTTTACTTGGAAATTTTGCTATGGCATTGAACTCTCTCCTTCTGGATAGAATAGATAAAAAAAATATAGTAGATTTTTTTTAAAGGCCAGACACGAAATAATTTCTACTGCACATTTTCTGTGCATCATCTGGAATTCCTCTATATTTACGTGAACAAAGAAATTGTGCCAGGGAAAGCTGGGGTGCGGTGGGCCACCTTCAGCCATTCTTGGCTCAGCACGAGGTGCTAGGCAGGCAGTCTGACTGAAGAGATCCCTTGAAGGTGACAGAGGTTTTGGGTGGTACACAGATGGTCTTCTCTGGAATCACATGTTCTTGCTCACTGTTAAGGGACATTCTGGACACCCAGGAAGGCCCCGTGTAGAGGAGCGAAGGACTCCCTGCATGGCCCACCCAGCGGCCTTTCTCGAGGCTTCTTCCACCTCACCCCACCCCATATTTGGCTTGTGACAAAGCTCCTTTCTGGCTCCTGCTCTTTGGGGTCTCCCTGCTGTCAGAGACACTGGCCTCCTTTGGTGTCCTCGTCTTTCTGGCCTGAGGCAGGGAACTGCAGGACGCGAGGATCCTCTGCTTTCTTTCCAGCAGTTTCTGAAGTTGCTTCTGTCCCATGCAGGGGTCTCTCTGGGCTTACGCCACACCCTCCCCCCCCTGCCCCGGGGAGGCTGCTTTGTCACTTCCCCATCCGAGGAAGACAGTCTGTCTCTGAACAGACTAACTTGACTGAAGATGGGGTCCCAGTGGATGTGTGTGAGAGGACCACTCAGACACGAGTTACTCCTCTTTATATTAAAATATTCTGTTAATTAGGTCAGGGCCCATCATGTTCACATTATGCCATTTTAGAAAAGATACACAAATCATGGCACATTAGGCTCTTGAGGCCAGAGCACATGCAAGGTACTGGAATGCTCCGTAGAATCTGGAAAGAGCAGAGCATCCTAAGTGCTTCAAAGACCCACCCCTTTGTTTTTGTTTTTTGTTTTGTTTTTAAAGATTTATGTATTCATTTTTATTTTTTATT